TTATGGTGATGCGGGCCACGGATTCGTCTGCGAAGGGAATGATGGGTAAGATTTACGACCTCATGTTGCAACTCACCGTGGACATGGATGACATGCTCGACAAGCGTGGGGAGGAGTTCCTGAACGAGGACGAGGCGGAAGAGATCCGGGGGTTGGTGAAGAAGAGGTGGAATCAAGACTTGGCTTGCCCCTTGCACGTGGTTGGCCGGATGCTCAATCCGGCCAACCAAACAGAGGGAATCTTCCGCAAGGATAAGGAGTGCACCACTGTTTTGAAAAAGTTCCTCTCCACCCACTTCGACCGGCGCATGGTCACCCTCCCGAATGGGAGGACGGTGAAGGAATCAGTGGTGCTTCAGGACGGCCTCACCGACTTCTTCACCATGCGCGGCAGCTTTGGCCTTGCCGAGGCAATCGCTGACCGTGAGTTCGTGAAGGCGGGAGAGATGGACATGGTGCGGTGGTGGACTTGGCACGGCACCGACCATCCCGCCCTCACCGCCCTCGCTTGCCGTGTCCTCACACAGGCCGTCTCTGCAGCAGCATGCGAGCGCAATTGGGCGGTGTGGGACTCAGTCCACACCGCCAAGCGCAACCGCTTGGGGTCGGAGAAGTGCCGGGATTTGGTGTACGTGGCCCACAACTGGCATGTGGTCCACAACTGGTACAAGAAGGAGGAGGGGCTTGGGGTTGTTGCTGGGAACATCCCCGAGCCCCCCATGCCGGAGGGATACAATGTGCTCGAGGAGGAGGCGGAGGAGGGGGAAGATGATGTGCTTGAGGATGAGTATGAGTAGGATAGATGTACAAAGTCGGATGGAGGAGGCATAGATGATGGAGAGAAGATAGGTAGTCAGGAGATGTGGCGGCGGAGGAGGGGGAAGATAATGTGATGGAGGATGAGAATGAGTAGGGGAGATGTAGAAGGTCGGATGGAAGAGGCATAGATGATGGAGAGGAGATAGGTAGTCGAGAGATGTGGCTGTGGATGTGTGTCCTTAGCGTGATGTTAATGTGAAAAGAAAATTTCTGATGTCCCCTCCTCACCCCTCTCCTTCCCCTCCCCCCCAACCCCCCTATTTCCCCTGCCCGGGCAAAAATTTCCGGCTGCCCGGGCAGGCGTTTTCCAAGCGTATTTGAAGCCTGAAATCCTACGTTTTGCGTCCTGAACGCAAGCGTTCCAAACGAAACGCAAAAACGCGGAAACGCGTTTATGCCAACATAGCCAGGCAGCCCTCGCTTGTCCCGCACATCCTCACAGTACCTCGGCGTGGCAGACCTGGTCCACAACTCACTGACCAACTCACTCGTCATCTCCCTCTCACCATGACCTGCCCGCTCCTTGCTGCCCCGGCAGGTGTCAACCCACCCCCGCACCACCATCTTCCAGCTGCCCGTCCATCCAGCCAACGCCGCCAGGCACAACACCCGAACCTCCTCCCACACCTTCCCATCCTCCACCTCTCCCTTTACCTCCACCTCCTTTCCCTCGCTCGCTGTCTGCTTCTTAGTCCCCCCGCCTCCCTTGCGCCCTTTCGTGGGAGCCCTTTCCCCCCCAGCCGTGCGGTCCCTGCCCCTGTCTGTCCTGCGAACCTCCTGCAGCTCCTGGGTGCCCAGGATGGCATCGGGCCAGCGCGAGGCCACGTTGATGAGGAACACCATGGGCAGCTCCTCTGCACGCGCCTGCACCACAGGCAGCTGCACCACGTCAGGCACGCCTGGGGGGAACTTGGGCAGAACCAGCAGGTCCGCGAGCTCGCTGAACTCAGGGGTCGGAGGGGGGGGAAGACGGAGACAAAGTGGTTGAAGAGGGCGGAGATGGGTCGGTAGGCGTAGTTGGCGATGAGCCCTATGAAGGGGATGTAGTACGCGTAGTCCCTGAAGCACTTCTGGCACTGCACACATGCAGGCATCTTCACCACGTAGCCGGCAACCTCTACCAGGAAGTCCGCATCTGCTGTGCAGTGCACGATGGGGAGGTCCGTGTTGAGGTGGAACAATGTCCCTGTCAGCTCCTCATGCAGCCTTCTTGAATCATCAACTCCCCCCTGAACACTCCAAACTTCCTGCCACCACCACCCTTGTCCCCCCGCCCCCTTGCCGCCCCACCGCTGCCTCCTATGGTTGATCCCTGCACGGACGACTTCTGCCCGCTCCCTCCTCTCTGCCCACTCCCCTCCACAATCCCCAGTCGGAAGAATCTCGCACTCGGATTATCAGGAAGCTTCACAGCAGCTTCATCGCCCTGAGGCCACTCGTCCCACTCCATTGGGAAGCTCCTTCCTTCCAGAGGCTTGGGGATGGCACCGAGCCTGACCGAAGGTCCCGAAGCGGGTGGCGCATAGGCAGGACCTTGCCCTGCGGTCTTTTCTTGGAGCATTGTTTGGCAGGGATGACATCCCAGCCATAGGTGCGCACCCACTTCAAGATGCAGGCAGCAAGATACGTAAAGACTGCAATCATGGGGTTGGTGTTGATAGGCACTAGTCCAGCCGAGGCAGCAGCAGCATTGGGAGCTGCTGCCACTGCTGGTGGCAATGCTGCTGTAGGCGATCCCAGTCCTCTGCCTGCTCCTGCTCCTCCATCCATCGGCCTTCTCAGCCGCTTCCTGGCTTCCTCGATTGCAGCATCCTCCACGCGTGTGATGCTGGCGTTGTTGCCGTCCAGGAAGTACACGGCCCCATCCTTGCACTGCGGTGCCTGCGAGAACACTGGCGAAGTCCCGTGGCACCAACACCACTCACGTACACACCTTGGGAAGAATTTTTCAATTCTAGACTGCTGCTGCCATCGTCAATACTGCTGCTGCTGCTGCGGCTGCTGCTGCGGCTGCTGCTGGCGGTGGCGTTGTTAGCGGTGGTGCTGCTGCTGCTGCCACCGCCACTGTTGCTACCGTCATTGCAATGGGTGCACCTGAACTCCCTGCCCCCCCTCCATGCTCCAGAATCCAAGCCATGCCATCCACATACCCCTTCCAGATAGGCCCCTTCAGATGCTCCCTCCACTTTCCATCCTTGCTGTCCTTAACCCCCGCACGAACCCATTGGCTAGGATCCAACATGCTGCTTGCCCACTGCCTGTCCAGATTGCCGTCACGCCCCCCCAGCCCTACACCCCCTCCTCCCTCATCCTGCCTGCCCGCCCTCCCGTCCTTCTCAGCATGGGCCTTCTCAAGACCCCCCGACAGCAGATTCTGCACCAGAATGTCAAATCTTCCCTCCAGGTCAGCAGTCTCCTTCACCCCCAGAATCTGCACCAGCACGGAAGCCAGGTTGTCTTGCTCCGCCTGCCTGCCGGCGCCCAGCGCAGTCACTATAGCAGGATAGGCGCCAGAGCACGCTTCTACGTGCGCCCTGCACAGAGTGACAAGGTGCGTGCACCTCGCCACAAGAACGAGGTAGGTCGCGAAGCTGACAGCACGGCGGTACGCCGCCCAGCCTCTGCTGCAGCGGCAGCAGCAGGAAGCAGCATCAACTGCTGCGATGGGAGAAGCAGCTGCAGGGGTATCTGCAGTGGCGAAAATGGCAGGCAGGCGAGATCTGATCCTCCCTAAGTCCATGAGCACGCCCACACGAGGCTCAGCCGTCCACTCGAGAAACATGGCCTCGGCGCACTGGTAAGGCGCCATCTCGCACGCGATGTGGAACTGCACATGTGGCTCCATGTCGTCTGAATCCTCGGACAGTGGTACCTTCCAGGAGTAGTCGTAAACAGCCGTGGTGAGTCGGTTGGGGGGAGCGAGAGGGACCAGCTCTTTCTGAGGGGAGCGCAGGTGGAAGCGGAAGTCGGTGAGGGACATCATGATGAGGGCGCGCTGCGTGCGCACGCGCACTGCGCGGTCGAAGCAGCACTCGCACACCGCCAGCTGCCACCCGCCCCGCACGTCCAGGTAGTATGCGGACCAGCCATGCGGTGTGGCGCCATCAACTCGAGGTGCCAGCAGGGCCGTTCATGCAATGGCAAGCTGCCGTCACGTGCGTGCGGCATCGCAGGCGGCGTCGCTTCTAGCAGGCGCCACCAGTGGAGGACACAGCCTAGCTGCCGCTAGTAGGCCTCCCGAGAATCCTTGGTGGGGCGCTAGTTGGATGTAGCCACAATTCGAGGGTAAAGGTTCGATTCCCCGGTGTCTCTGTACAGAACCTCAAGTTCGAGCTGGGAACATTAGAGCATGCTAGTTGGAGGTTCGAACATGCCTGAGGTTCAAACTTCTGAAGCGGTGGGAAATGTTACGGTGTGGTGAAACTAATCACTAGCGTGGTACAATCTGGTGGAGGCTCGAACAAAGCCTTCTGAACCTCCAAATAACACGCCCTAAGGGACGGTAATTGCCTTGTTTCGCACTTAGTGCCTCTGGGTCGAGCCCAGGTCGCATGGCTTGCACATTCGCACCTGAACCCGCACGCGCACAGCACGCGCACAGCACGCGCCTCTTAGTGACGCCGTCACCTGAATGCACGGCGGACGTGGCAAGCGGCCAGGATCCGCCGCGCAGGGAGTCATCATTTAGCCGGCTTGTCGTCACCAGCGCCACGCCTGCATGACCAGTGCTCACCCTTCCGCGATTCCCGCGCGACCTTCCGCAGCTGCGCCGCGACGCAGCATGGCGGAACAGAGGCGGAAGCCCTGCGGAGGAGCCGCGCCAGCAGCCCCGCGCTGCCACCGCCGCCGCTTTTTCCCCTCCGCGGCAGCAGCGCCGCACCTGCCGGCAGTGCTCCTCCTGCTGCTCCTCCTTCCGTCCGTGCTGCTGCGCGCCACGGCACAGGTAGTGCGCGCATGCTCCGGTGCGCGCAGCAAAAAGAGGTGCCTCTGGGGCGGCCGTGGGCCATTGGCGCTTGCTGCCGCTGTGCTTGGCAGCAGTGCTTGTGCGCGTGCGTTCGTAGTTTGCCTTTCACTGCCACCCTATCTGATCATCCCTCCCCTCCCTCCCCTCCCTCCCCTCCCTCCCCTCCCTCCCCTCCCTCCCCTCCCTCCCCTCCATCCCCTCCGCATCGCCCTCCCAGCTCCCTGGGATATTGGACGCCCAGCTGCCCATGTGCTTCTCCGCCGCGTTCGCGTGTCTGGTTAGCAAGAGCAACTGCTACTACTACAACGCCACCTCTGTCTTCAACTGCTCCTGCTCCACCGTTCCCGCCACGTGCACCAAGTCCAACGGTGGGATGGCATGATGGGGTCCACTAGGGTGTTGTGTTGGCATGTATGAACGTCCCTGCCGGGCCTTCCCTTCCACTCCTCTCTCTCTCTCCTCTCTCTCTCTCCTCTCTCTGCCGCCACCAAGGGAGGAGAAAAAGAAGAAACCAAACTAAAAACAGAGGAATGAGAGGACTGAGGGCTCTAAATACTAAGGAACATAGGCTCTCTCTCTCTCTCTCAAGCGGTCCATGTATTGATTGAGAACGTTGTACATACTAAACAAGTGGGCAGACTTCAAACCATAACGAAGGTACGTGCATGCTGGGGGTGGGCAGCCGGACTACTGGAGCTCCCCGAGGGGCTCCGCTATGGCAAAACAGTCCCCTAGGCCCATGAAGGCGTCAGGGGTACCCACGGGGGGGTACTCCGCCGGGGCAGCCTCGTTGACCTTTCCGAGGTAGGCCAGGGCCTGTGCCCGCTGGAGCGTGACGGACCAGCGCTGGCGGAACTGATGCAGCAGCTTCGCCGCCTGGTAGGAGCTCGGGTCCGCGTTGAAAAGCCGCCTTGCCCCTGTGTCCGCCAGGAGCTTCAGAAAGCTGGGGACCTCGGCGCAGGGGCAGCCATAGGTCTCCACGGCCAAGGGGAAGAAGCCAACATAAGGTGCGCGGTTACGGTAGTGATCAATCTTCTTATCGGCCTGTTCCCGGGCCATATATCCCCGCCCCTTGCGTGCGTGCGGGTCCCGGGTGCTGATGGGGTCCGTGACAGTGACGTCACAGATCCAGACGGCACCGGAGTCTCTGTCGCGCATGGCTAGGTCGGCCTTATGGCCGTCCACCGGGCTGTAGGTAGTGGTCTCCTTGGTAACGATGAACCCGGCATCTCGCGCCATACGAATGCACTCATCGCGGAGTGCGTTGTGGGTGTCTGTCCGGCCATGCCCCGTGCCGCAGCGGAAGAGGTGGTTGGGCAGCCGGGGGTCAAGGATCTCGGTCTCGTCTGCGCAGTTGCAATTGCGTGGGGCTGGGAAAGGGAGGCCGAGGCGGAAGGCGAGGGCGATGGCAAAGTGCGGTGGTCCGAGGCGGAGAGAGGGGAAGATGGGGATGGCATGGATCCAATCCCCTGCCCCGTAGCCAGCAAGGGAGAACAGACGCTGTGTGTGGCCGGAGCTGGGGTTCAGCTCCATCCCGCGGGACGCTGCCACCTGGTCCGCATATCGGGCGGCTTGGACTTCGAGGGAGAGCCGGTGCTGGAGGGGGTTTCCGGATGGTTCCTGGCGTTCGGAGCGCAGGAGCTCTAGTGCACGGGTCGGCATGGCTGCCTCACACCCCGCCAGCCAGGTAAGGAGATGGTTGGGGCTGGAGAAGGGGGGGGTGAGGGGGCGCAGTGCGGACGCCAGGGGCCCATCGGCTGCTGCGGGCAGGGCGGCGAGGAGGTGCTGCGCCTGGGTGACGCTGGTCAGGAAGGCTGGGGGGCCTTCAATGGCAGGATCGGAGAGGCCCAGCCCGCCGAGCGAGGGCGGAAGTGAGGCTTGGGCCCAGGTGCGCGCGCGTTCGGCTTCCCCTCGAGGAAGCTGGAGGTTGCACGCGTGAAGGAGGGTGTGGAAAAGCCCCCGTCCCCACTCCGACCACTCGGGTTGTGGGAGGAAATCCAGGGGCGTGGTGCGGGTCAGGTAACTGACCCGCCGCGAGATGCAGCGCGTAAGGAGGAGCGACGCTGTTTGGGGGTCCATGGAGGCGATGGTGGGGAGTGGTTCGGCCAGCGAGGCCAGCTGGGCGCGGAGGAAACCAGCTGAGCCCTCCGCTGTCCCGACAAAACTCCCCAGCACCCGTAGCCCCGCGCTGTGGAAAGGGACGTCCGGGGGAATGGCGTCGGGCGGGGGAGGGGTGGGGGACCACGCCCCACATTTCGAGGGGTTGTGCGTGAGGCCAATGGCCCCGACTGCGTCCGTGAAGTGGTGGAAGGCCGCTGTGCAGGCGGCCGGATCACCCACGAACGTCACGTCGTCCGCGTAGGCTAGACAGAGGACGTCGGGGTGGGCGACAGCTGTTGATTGAAGCGCGGGGTGGATGGCCGCGGCGAAGAGCAGGGGGCCCATGGGGTCCCCTTGTCGGACGCCCCGTGCACTCTGGAGTGGGGGGCTGGCGAAACCGTCATCGAGGTACAGGAGCGAGGGGGAGCCGTAGGAAAAACGGATAAACGGTAACAGCGAACGAAGGGGCGAGGCGTCGATAGCGGTGATGATTGCCCCTCGCTCAACGCTGTTAAACGCGTTAGTGAGGTCCACTTGGACGATCACGGAGCTGGGACGTGCGGAGGTGAAAGCCCGAGTGGCGTGGATGATTGCCTCCCCGCCGCTCCGAATTGCGACACCGAACTGAAGTGGCAGAAAGTATTCTTGTGCGGGCTGAGTTGTCGAGATGAGGGCTGCTTTGGCGGTAAGGCGATGGAGGCATTCGCCGATGGCGATGGGGCGTGTTCCGCCATCGGGTTTGCGAAGGGCCAGCAGACGTGACGCGGTTAACAGCCCGCTGACCTCCTGGGGCAGGTTACCGGCGAGGAGCAGCTGCACAATTTCGTGTAGGAGCTTAGCGACGTGCGGATTGGTGAGCGAGGCGTCCCGCAGGTGTTCGAACGTCATCCCCGAAGGACCGGCGCCCACCCCATTTTCGCTACGCGAAAGTAGGCGAATAAAAGGGGCGAAGTCGAGCGTCGGTGGGTTGACGTCGTCCAGAGAGGGCCACGTGAGGTCCTCGGTCAACGGCCTCGGGTGTTTGGACTTCAGCGAGTCAAGAACCTCCGGGGTTGACTCGCTGACTGGGGTTGACTGGAGGGCCAGCAGGGCTCGGCGAAGGCTGCCTCTTCGCACCAGCCCCTCAGCTCGGGAGATTTTCCCGAGGTCGTCACGAACGTGGCGAGGGGGTGCGGGCAGTGCGACAGCAGCAGCTGCTGACTGGTAGAGGGCGTCCCACTGGCCCGCGAGGAACTGCTGCAGACGAATCTCCATCGCTGGCCAGTCCGGGCGTTTGGGCGATGACATGCGAAGAGTTAGGCGGGGGAGAAATAGTAACAACCGCCAGCCCCCGATTGAGGTTGGATTTTTCGCGAGAAAAAGGAGGGGCGTCAGCAGGGCTAACGCGAACAGGTGGCGAATAGTGGGGGGTAGTCGCCTTGAAAGAGGGGGCTGGCGACTGTCGCACAACACCGCAATATCCCAGCTGGCTAAGTGGGCAAATCGTGAGGCATCGCGGGCCAGTTCCTCTGGGGATAATTGCCTGGCTGCCTGGGAGGGATTGTCCAGCGCGTGTGCAGCTGGTGAGCCCCGCTGCTCGAAGCCCCTGGATCTGGGAGAGGTGTTTCGATTCTCGCTCCCCACCCGCCTCGGTGCCCCTTCCCCCAGTGCGCCACCGGACTCGTCTGTGGTAGATTCCATGTGCGAATCCTGGATATAAGTACCGTCTCGTCTTTCTTCCTCATCAGTTGCCTCCCGCAGTCCCATCTCCCTTAAAGCCCTATTCGCAGCTTGCTGGAAGCCATTCAGCGGGCCGCCGTCGCGTTCCAAGTCGCCTGTCCTTAGGCGCCCGCCCCTACGCCCACCACTACCTCGGCCCCTGGTTCCGCTATCCCCGCCTCCGCCGCGCCCCCTCCGCGTGGCGCTGCCCCGTGCAGCGGAGCGTGGAGTAGGCGGACGTTCGCCACGCTGCCTCGCTGTGCCCGCTCTAGGGCGCATCGGCGAAACGGATGGCTGACCGGGCTGATTGTGCTCGGAGAGAGCGTTCCGTCGACCGCGAGAGTTCGGGGGAGAACGCCCTCCCCCGAGGTCGGTCGAGCTCCCCCCCCCTGACGGACCGGCGGTGGGCACGCGGGCTCCCAGCGCCGTCCACAAGCGCGCCCGCGTCCCCCAGTCGGATGCGGGCGCCGACGCCGCCTCGTCTGGAGGGGCGGGCTGCGGTGGCGGGCGTAGAGGACCGCCAGTGTCCTCCTGCTGAGTTGTCGACGCCTGCTGAATCCCATGCGGCGGGCCCTCGCCCCCCCCCGGTGTTGCCGTCTCGGCCCCATCCGCAACAGCCGCGTGCGCCAGACGGCCCCTCGGGGCGTGGTGGCACGCGCCGGGGGCGGAGGGGGAGCGCACTGGAGAGACGGCTGGCGCGGACTGCCGCAACGTTGGAGGGGATACTCGAGCGGGCTGGCGCTGGGCTGCTCCCATCGCCCCCGCAGCGGGAGCCCCCCCGACAGCTCCCCCATCAAACCCAGCCTCTATTTCCGCCGCGAGTCCTTCCACCGACCCTCCCCGACCAGCCTGCTCGTGATGGAGCGTTTCCCCCTCCGCTGCGGCCTCCGGCGGCGCTGCTCCCAACTGTGCCGCTGCCTCCGTGGCAGCATTTGCCGCCTGGGGGCCCGTATGCTGCCCTGCACTCCGCTGCGCATCCGCCGCCTGTACCCGCGCCGGTCCTCCCACCCCCGGGGTACTACGACCTGCACCACCGGCCCCTGCCAGCGCCCCAGATAGGCAGCCCCGCGTCATCCGCCGGTACACTCCCGGAGTGGCGTCCCCCTTCGTCCTGGGCTGGGGCGGTGGAGTGGTCCGATCCCCAGGTGGGGCTCTACCGCGGAGGGGGTGTGGTCGGTCCGTTCGTTCCCCCTCGGCGGCGGGCGCCATCCCCACGGGGTGTAGAGGCGGGGGCAGAAGCAGCGGAGACGGGGGGCGCGGAGTCGCCAGGGGAGGGGTCTCCACGTCGTGCTCGTGGGGCCGGGGGGGCGACACGGAGGAGCACGCCGACGGTGGGGCCACCGACGGCGGCTCTTGCGGAGATAACGGTCCCAGCCGCCACACTCCGTCGCCTTGGGCACGCTCGGAGGGGGACGGAGATACTGTTGACGATTCTGGCGGCGGCGAGCTCCGCGCTGGGGAGCTCAGGAGGCCAGTCAATGGCCGCGTACTTCCCCCTTCAGGGCTGCATGGAAGCAGCCATAGATCTCGCTGTGGAGGCTGCATGCGCGCGGCCCGGGCCCGCCTGGGG